CTCAGGCTGTTAAATGCTTACTCATTTACATGAGTTACTCCAGGTTGTTTATGGGCTGCAATACCTAGATAGAGAGTTGATTACTGTATGACATGTTTAATCATAATCATAATATCTTCTTATGCCTAATGTCAGGACATGCCACTGAATGTCCTGTCAGAATGTTTTTAGATACACGCCACTTAATCAACACACACACTGTGTTGCCTCTAAGGCATTTGTTTAGCTAATTATTTGTTGAAGTTGTTATCTATTTTGGTGAAGGGCCAGGTTAATAATTACATATGTAAAAGGAAATGATAACGCTAAATCTATTTACCGATTGGCACCGGGTGATGACGTCACTTCCGGTTTTAGCGATTTCACGCTAGTAAGAAAGATGGCAGACATAAGGCTCTTGTTCGCGGCATGTGTATTCATTTTCATCTGTTAGGAAACGTGATAGAAGCAATGCCGTAAGTTATGATATGTGTCAGTTGACATAGTATTGTTAACATTTGCTATGATTGTTTTAAAAAGAGTTAGATGTGACGTTGAGGAAGTTTATTTACAGTTATGCATAAGCTAGCTGATACTATGCATTTGAATGTGTGTTGAAGTGTACCACCATTTATAGTATAGATATTGGTTAAATAAGCATAACTGACAGTGTTTATTGTATTGTTTATTTGCAGTTTTTACCGTGATGTTATAGAAGAGTGGACAGTAAATGTTTTTGATCTTGCTACAACCTCTTCATTGACTACGGTTTAACTCGGTGTTAAAGTCAGAGTATCAACACCCTGCACAAGAACACTAAAGTAGTGTCTAGAACATTGTTACCATAGTTTTTATATATTATCTCTAGGAGCATGTTAAAGTCCTGTTGAGTATTTTACTGTTCATCACTTCTTCATTACCCGTTGTGTGTTGTTTTTTGTGTTGTTTTCACATGTGTGTCTGTCTCTGAACCTGGTGTGTCTAATTTTCAAATATAAAGCACTTTTTCAAACTATATTTTGTTTTACAACCTGAACAGATTCCATCAGGCAACAATATAACAGGAAACAAACTACTGGCTGTGAGAGGTAAGGAAGGGTGTCAACCTCTTCTATCATTTATTACCATGTGGTTTCCAAAGGTTTAAGCTGCACCCATCTATGATTCACTGTCCAGTTTTTCAAATTATAAGCAAAGCTTGTCATACTTGAAGGTGATGTCCAAATGTGCTGCATGAGTTACATCAGATCATCCTTACTATCAAGGGACACCACCTTAATTTAGGACAAGAAGTCTTAACAGAACTAGGAAGGATGGGCCTTCCTGGAAATTTGACTGTTTATGGAAATTTGAGTTTTCCTTTTATAAAGATCTTTTTGACTAAAATTTGAGTCATCATATAAAATGCAAACACAGAACACAACTAGTACATCAAAATGTGGAAGCAAAAAAGAGAAATTAAATTACTGTGAAGTGTAAGTTGCACATCTTTTTTTAAGAAAACAAGCCTGGACAATAAAATGAAACATCCAATTCTTATAATACACATGGAAAAAGATAGAGTGCAAGGCCCACCATACCTAGAGAAGGCCCGACATAATGAGAGAGAGTGTGAGGCAAGAACACTCACCTGCAAATACTGCAAAATTACTTTCAAATTTAAAAAATAATCACCTTTATTTGGCCAAGTATGTTACACACAAGGAATTTGTTTCCGGTACAGAACCGAGGCAGCCATCTGTGGCGTCAACTCACACCGATGGCTCTGACCATCAGGGGCACTTTGGGGGTTCAGTGTGCCCAAGGACACTTTGACATATGGGCTGCAGGCAACATGAATCGAACCTCCGACCCTCCAGTTGGGAGACGAACGACCTACCCACTGAACCACAGTCGTCCCCAGACATCAAGATGATAGAGATTACAATAAGACTCCTGCTGGTTGTCTCAGTACACATAGACACATAATACATTTCTTATACTTATTTTGGCCCCATGACAAAATCTATCTGAAGTTTCCCTTACAATGCAAGGACTATGACAAGAGGACGATGTTTCTCTATACTGTACCTAAGCACAGAGCAGTTACTGAACAGGCTAAAGTTACATGTAGTATATTATTGGCTATAGAAGTTACAGTTAATTTACCATTATAATAAGAAGGCTGAATACTATAATCACACTCAGTGGTAAAAAGTTACTAAATACATTTACTTAAGTATTGTACTTAAGTACAGTTTTCAGGTATTTGTATTTTACTTGAGTGTTTCCATTTTCAGCTCCATACTTGGACTTCACTACATTTCAGAGGAAAATATGGTCCTGTATGTATCTGATAACTTTTGTTACTTTTCAAAATAAGATGAATAAAACAAAATGCACTATAATCATAAGACTTTATTGATTGTTATTCTAGCGAGCAGTATGTAAAATATTTGAATTATAAATATATAGCATATCAATATATATAGGCCTATATAGATTAAGTATACAGTATATGAAGTTTTAACATGATGCCCATACTAATGATTGCACTTATAGGTACACAAGCACTTCGGCCGAACACAGTAAATATCAAAATATCTTCATCTCTGTAATCCTAAAATCTTAGCTTTTTTTTTCAGAATTTGTTATGCTCAGTCACATGTTGATGAAAAAGACCTGTCCATGGTGTACCCCGCCTTCGCCCGATTGATGGCTGGGATTGGCTCCAGCATATGCATGTGCACCTAATGACCTCAAAGTCATCATTGTTTCTGACAGCCATGTTCCAGATGAACAGTTCATTAAGGCAGAGGAGCCAAACGGGCTGTTGCAGTATGGTTACAGATACAATTTTTCTAACGAACATGTTGAGATATTACTCTGGATCAGAAATAGATCCTGAAGGAGTGAGAAGACAAGCTGTGGAACCAGAAGTGGAGAAACAAGGAGAATGATTTATCTGCTGTTTCTGCTGATGAGTTTTTAGAGATAGTGTTTAAGATGAAGTTCATTGATGTAATGCTATATATACTGTAGCTTTAACTATACATTCAGCAGTCTGATCCACCAAACTGGTGGAAATGTATTTGTACAATAATGTTACTACTAATACTCAGTGTCAACTGATCGGTTTTCACTAGTAAATGTAATACCAGAAAACACGTAATTATGAACAATTGACACACACAGGAACAAATATTCATGTTTATGCTCATGTTT